TGAGCACTGGGAACCCTGGGAGGAAGGGAGGGTAGGAGGCCAGCCCAGCCAGAGCTGCTCAGCTGTGAGAAGAATAGGAACTGGCCAGAGCCTGAGTGGTGAGGGGACAGCGCTTGTGAGGTAGATCAAGGGCAGGACTGCAGAGGGAGTGGGGGGGGGAGGTTTCAGGCATGAGGCCTCATGGGAGCACCTTCCTTGACAAGGAAAAGGTGGTGCAGCACATCCTTGTCGTTGGAAGCACAACCATCTGCTTATGGAGGAGAAGTAGTGATGCTGTGTGAGAACAGCCAGGGGCATGGCAGAGTGAGCCCAACGAATTGATCCCCTGCTTGGTGGGAAGGGCAGGCATGGCTGGGACAGCTTCCCTGAGAGGCTGGAGGAAGGTGGGAGACCTGCTGCTGATGCTGGTTATGTGGGTGCGGGTGGGAGCAGGGCTAGAAGGGGACAAGATGCAGTGTGGTTTGAGAGCTGGTGCCCTGTTACTTAGGCTGTGATTGGTGGTGGGGGTGCGGGGCAGGGTAGCAGACAGGTGTAGGGCGTACCTCAGCCTGTAGGGGGCGAACGTTTGGCTTTGGAATGGCAACAGTTGGGGTCCTAAGGCTGAGAATGAGGAGGTGTGGCCTGTGCATGCAGAGCCAGAGCAGGTCAGTGAGCACTGGAAACCCTGGGAGGAAGGGAGGGTAGGAGGCCAGCCCAGCCAGAGCTGCTCAGCTGTAAGTGAGAAGAATACAGAACTGCGAATACAGTGCTTGCACTGTCTGACCTCCATCTATCCGTAGTTGTTCCCAACTTACTCCATGAGCCTTCCAGAGATCCCAGTAACTGGGGCCCACTCTCTTGAACTCTAGCCCCTTGTGTTGGGCCCATGGGGGGCAGGGTACCAGTGACCCAGAGTTGACAGGTGAAAGGTCTTTGGGGCTTGAGGGTACCCTGGGGGCCTCGTACCCTGACAGGGCCCTTTCCTGGGAGGCTGGGCCTTTTTTCCCAAAAGTATAGGCTATACTAGAGATTGAGCTCTGTGCTGGGTGGAGGAGTCGGAGGCAGTCCCCAGACAGGGCACAGCTTACTGGTAGAGAAAAGAGCAGGCTGGAGCCTGGGGCTTGTTGCTGCAGCTGTGTCCAAGTGGCCTCCAGTGGGGACTGTTGTGTAGGTGCCACTCCAGGCTGAGTTCTCTTGCTCCTTGTTCCTAGTCCTCAGCCTCTGGGGGGTGGAGCCACATGATAGCTCAGGCCAGGCTGAGGAGCTGCACAGGGCAGCCTTCTTCCAGGGGAGGGACCTGTGAAGGTGGGAGCACCATAGGCAGGGCCATGTCACTGCACCCTGGGGACCTGTGGAAATGCTGGGCCTGCTCCCTGCAAGCCTGACAGGTGCCATGTGCTGTGCTTTTGTGTTCAGGCCCAGGACCCGAGGAGATGAAGTTTGGCTGTCTTTCCTTCCGGCAGCCGTATGCCGGTTTTGTCT